ATATATATATGAGGACACGGAGTGAAAATTGTGTAGTTTACCATGGCGGTTGATCTTCCAGCATTGCAATAGACAAAGTGCACCGTGCATCCGTTCGAGTGATAACCGTCTTCCTTACCTTCGCAGTCAATGGTACTTCAAGTAAGCATGATATAATGGAATAATCATATCTCAGTTCATTTATGTTACCTGACAACCGTCTGCGATTGAGGTGATGTGGAATGTTGTTGAGGCTGTGTCAATGCCTCAGCGGTAGGGACACTAATCTCTCCTAAACACTCCTCTGGATAGTCACATAAACCTTTCTTCTGGTTGAATACGAGTGATGACGGGCATCTCTGCAAAAGATATGAAGAGGATCAAACGAAGAGCCCAGCGGTAGATACCATAGCCGTTGCGATCCCTTCGTTGCAAAACACGTAATTAGGCGTGCAACCATTTGAGTAGTAACCTTTCTCTTTTCCATCGCAAGAAACGGCCCTGAAGGATTATGTTCCTCAGAAAGAAATTGTCTCAAGATTCCCGAACTTACGTTACTCCTACAGGAACTCGAACTGGTGCAGTGGTAGTCATGCCTGCAGCTTCAGCCGCACAACTCTCGACATAGTCACAGCGCAGTTTATTCATGTTGAACACCAGTGAAGATGGACATCTCTGCAGTTTTGCATCGAAACACCTGAAGTCTTAACGTTTGACGTACCAAGGGTGTTGCGATTCCGTCGTTGCAAAAAGTAAATTCCGGAGTGCAGCCTTCCGAATAATAGCCATCTCTCCTTCCTGCGCAGTCTATAGTCCTACAAAAGTTTAGCCGTTTCATGACATAAAGCTCCAGTGAAGAAGAAAACTTACGAGACTGAGTCTGCTTTCTGAGTCGCCTCTGAATGAGAACTGTGTTTTGATTCAGATCTTTCGAAGGAAGCAGAGCCTGACGTCGACTTTAAATCTGAAGGCTTCGCATGCTGCTCGTTGCAGGATTCCCGATGGTCGCAGTATCCCCGTTCTTGGTTGAACACCAGGTCATGAGGACATTTCTCAAAAGCAGTATTAGATTGGAACTTCTGCTCATTAGCTTACCATGGGAGTAGCATGTCCATGGTCGCA